AATAGTAATAAATAAACAAATTAAAAAGTAATAGCAATAAAATAAAAAAATTACGCCAAACGGGCATTCTTTCCAGTTATACACACATACACGTTTCGAGAGCACTTAAGCTAACGTTCCATTGAGCTAAAATATTTAAAAACATCATATCTTTAGAATTTCTGATAGGTAGTTTCGCACGCTGAAGACACAAATGTTTTTTTTTTTTTTTTTTTCCGTACAGTGTTGCTATTGATCGCTTTAAATCGTTAAGTTTGTTAATAAAAAAATTCGTTAAAATTTCATAAATTTGAAATAGACAATGAAACAAATTCGAAACTTCCAGGTTCCCATATTCGATGGAGGACTATGTTATTCAAAATTTGATGAGTCTGGGTACCGATGTGTTTTCATAGTGCAAGAAACATACAGTTCATGCAGATTCTCCCTTATTTAATTTCTTTGAATATAATGCAGGGCTCTAATGTTAGTCGGCAACAATTTGAAAAGTGAAAGGACCTTCATAGTGAACCGACGCAAAATGCCTTTTCGAGACTAATAGCCCTTCTGGGCTAACCCCTCTTTGGGATAATAATAAAAAGAAAATAGGAATGATACATTGAGCTAAACAATAGCTAATTGCAAGGAATAAAATAAGCGCATAAAGTTGAAGATGTGTTGCTATGAACGTCTGTGAGACTGTGACTTGCTGCGACGTCTTACTGTGTCTTACCGAATTGAAGACGTCTTAATGTGTTAACTTTTGTGTAGCTCCCCTGGTTTGATATAAACTATCATCTTACATGTGAGTACTTTTCAATATAAAACATATAATGATAACTAAATCCAAACACTATTGCAGTTTGATAGATCAAAGAAATAAATTTCATTAAACTTTCTCCTTTAAACAGCGTTTTTCGACACTTTTTTTGTGCGATGTTATGAATATATTTCCTTTCTTGATCAATAAAAGTATCATTATATTGCTTTCTCTAAGCTTTTCTTTAAGCTGTATGGCTCAAGTATAGCTTGATGAATCTTATGCTTCGGTGATTGTCTGCACTTCCCCCCCCCTTCGACTGATATTTCACTATTTAAGCATATGTCGGGAATGCCATCCCCGAGGGCCTGAGCATGAGCACAGCCAACTCAACCGACCTGAGCACAGCACAGCTAACTTATAGAGTTGGCTGTGGGCCCGAGTAGGGAGCAAAACAAAAGTCGTGTGTTATTATACCGGCGAGAGAGGGAAAGCTTCTCAAAACAACACTTAGAGGAAAGAACATTATGAATAAAATTTTCTTCCTTTATCTCATTTAATTTTTTTTTTTTTTTTTCAAAATTAACAAAAATAAGTGAAATTAATACAAATAAAATAATTTAATGAATTGAAACAATTGATTGAAAATAGGTTATTTTTTAATTACGTTCACTTTCAACTCAAATGTAATTTTTTAATAAGATCCATTTTCTATTGATATCTGACATGGTGGATATAATTTCACTGTTATAGGCATTCCTAAAAAAATTAAATTGACCGTAAATGCTATAAACCAATTATTTATCACTGAGCCAAAACTAGACTTATAAATTCAAATAGTTGCCAATACTATTTATCGAATATCATTTACCATCCGGTAAATTAAGGCAAAAGTTTATGACATAAAATGCATTTAACTTTTTAAATAACGCGAAGTATTATAGTTGTTTTTGAGTAAATTGCAATATTAATTAATTAAATATTGAAATAAGGGAGTGAAGTCGCCTGATCTCTGTTATTAAAAAACGAAGAATCTGTATGTGCTACGTGTATATATAAAGGAATCTATATGTTCTTTACATTGCGAAAAAACGGTGGCATTGAGTGCTGCCAAATTTTGAATTCATATCGGACCCGAACATGTGCCCCACGAAGTCCAAATTTTTAATTTCTATTTTTTTCCTCTTTCTTTTTCTTTTTTTTTTCTTTGTACGAATTGGATTAATTTTACGATTTAAATGCAGTTTGTTACCATTCGCTTAAGCACAAGACATTTATGTTTCAAATCTAATAAAAAATTCAGCAATTTAAAAGAAATGTATTGCCACTCCACAAAACGTAAGATATTTGTCTTTTAAACTTAATCAACCGACCGAGCGATTTAAAATAAATGTATACTGCCTGAAATCATTTTTTCCCACAGACTAGATATTTATTATTTCTTTCAATTTTAATAAGCAATAAACGAAGTTTTTCATTTATATTATGATTAATTACTAGCTGGACCCATGAAATTATACTAGCTGGACTCACTAGAATCGTTATACATTTTTTTCATTTTTATTGTAACTGTTTTAGACGGATGGCCGTGCAAATGGCTAATTACAGTAAAATGAACTCTGACTGTTTAAAAGTCTTTTTTCATTAATCATGTCAAATTTATTTAAAGATTTCAAATGATCGTTCAAAATTAATCAAACATTTCAAATGGAGATACAATTTCAGTTTTTAATTTGAGCTCAAGGTAGCAGTGCTTCCTCAATGCAGCAAGTAATTTAAAACAAGTAGTCTTTGTTCAGTAGTGATTAAGAGCTGCCGACAGGAGGCGCTGCTAGCGCGTTATACTCTCGACCTACGTAATTTGAATTCAGTATTCTTTTCTTTTGTGTACTTGCTGTAACAGATCTTACAGCTTTGTGATTGAGAATTTAAAATGTTTTGGAGCCAGATCGCTCCTCTACAGCAACAAAATCATTAATAAATGTATAATAAAGTAAATATCTTTGTGATGATAATCTTTGTTATTAAATACAAAGTTAACCAGCTCCTGAGTACAGTTCAAGTGGTCCGTGGAGAATCGAAGGTGAGCTCTCCCATTTTAATCTCTATTAAATTTGAAAAGTATAACTGTAATAAATATGGAAGCTCTAAAAACTAGAAAAAGAGTGTTAAAAAGTTCACTGACGAGGCATAAAGATAAAGTTGTTTCGTCATTAGATGTTTCAGATTCAGTTGCGTTGCAGCTATTTTAAACCAAAACTAATGAGATTTCTAACGAACTTAAATCTGTATTTTATTCAATTTTCGAAACATGTAAACCCGAAGAATTGGATAACTTTATTAAGGATAAAGAAGATACAGATGATATTGTTGATGAGTTGCTATTGATGATTAAACGTAAATTAGCAGTAGTAAAAAATAAGATGAATTCTGAACATTCTGTTTCTCCTGTGCCGAGTAATAATAATTCAAATGTGTTTTCGGATGTTAAGTTACCGACACTATCGGTACCGACATTCAATGGTAAAATAGAGAATTGGATAATGTTTTAAAGATATGTTTAAAAGCTAGTGTAATAGAAAACAAATCTATTTCGAGTAATGCAATGAGATTGCAATATTTAAAAGCTAGTTGTAAGGACGAAGCTCTGAGAGTAATACAGTCTATTTCTATTTCGGATACAAATTTCGATATAGCTTGGAAACTTTTAGAAGATAGGTATTCGAATAAACGTGAGCTTTTAAATGCTATAATAAAAAAGCTTTTGAATCAGCCGAGTATTAGCGAGACATCTAGTTCTATTCTAAATTTAATTGATGTAACGAACGAGTGTATTCGAACTTTAAATATTTTAAACTACAAGGTAGAAAACTTATCTGAAATAATGATAGTATATTTGATAGTGGATAAGTTTGATAAATCAACTCGATACTGGTGGGAAAAGGAATTAAAAAACTCGGAAGAATTTGGTACGATTGAACAATTACTTTCGTTTTTACAAAGCCAAGCGAGAACGCTTCAAAATAGTAAAATAAAGGAGGTAAAAAAGAGTAATAATTCTCCACATAAAAAACTTACGAGTATGATATCCCACTTCTAATACAAAAAACATAAATTTGAAATGCATAAAGTGCCGTGGTGAAGAATTCCATTCATTATATAAAGTGTCCGGAATTTATAAGCTTTCTGTCAATGACAGGTGGGAATTCGTGAAAAGAAATAAGCTTTGTTTTAATTGTTTGAAAAACCATTCCGTTCGAACGTGTTCGTCTAATTATCGATGTCAAAAAATGTTCACGAAAGCATTCAACGCTATTACATTTCGAAAATGAAAAACAAAAATAAATCCGAAAGTGCTCATATTTCAAAGCCGGAAGTAGGGGGGGAGAAGACGACAGTCAGTCTCAATCCGAATGCTGAAAAATTTGTTTATGACTCTTCTTCTACCAATAAAGAAAGTATTTTCGCCGGCACAGCTGTAAACGGAATGCGTCAGACCAAAAATGTTTTACTTTCTACTGCGAATATTTTAATAAGAGATTGCTACGGTGAATTAAAATCAGTTCGCGCTTTGTGTGATGTAGGTTCGATGACGTCATTCTTAACGATTGAATGTGCTAATTCGTTAGGGATTAAAAGAGAAAAAATATCTGTTGCGGTTTCTGGATTAAATAACACGAGAATAAATATTAATTCTAAAGTATGTGCTTCTATTTCAAACGGTATTGACTTTGAAATGAGTTTAGAATTTTTGTGCGTGCCTAAAATCTCGGACTCCATACCAATAAATAATATAGAAGTTCCGACTGAACATTTTCCTCAAAACATTAAGTTTGCTGATCCAAACTTTTATAAAAGAGGAAAAATTGATGCATTATTAGGCGCAGAGGTGTTTTATCAGATCTTAAAATTCGGTCAAGTTGAAGTGCCCAATTCAGAGCTAAGATTTCAAAATTCTGTTTTTGGCTTTATAGCCACTGGCAGCATTTTAGGTTCAGAGACTGAAAATACGCGAGCAGTTCACTGTGGATTAATTAATAATTATAGTGATATAGAAAATGAAATTAAAAAATTTTGGCAACTTGAGTCTATAGGAATTAAAGATGATCCCAGTGAAAATGAGATAGATCAATCTTTAGAAACATTTGAAAAAACTGTTCGTTTTAAAGATAACCGGTATGAGGTTCAATTACCATGGAAAAGAGATTGGGGAGAGCTCAATAATAACTTCATCGTTGCTAAAAACAGACTTAATTTACTTATGCGTAGACTTCAAAAAGATCCAAATCTTCATTTGCAGTATATTGAAACTTTAAAAGACTATGAAAATAAGAATATTATAGAGAAAGTTAGATGTCCTAAAGAACCTGTTGATAAACCTGTGTTCTATTTGCCACATCAACCAGTTTTTAGAGAGGAAAGTGCAACTACAAAAATGAGAATAGTATTTGATGCAAGTTCCAGTCATAACTTTAAGCATTTAAGTCTAAATGATTGCCTGTGGTCAGGGCCAAACCTGAATTCGAACATATTCGACATTCTTGTTAATTTCAGATTAAACAAAGTCGCCTTTACTTCAGACATAGAGAAAGCTTTCCTACAAATTTTATTAGCCGAAAAGGACAGAGATGCAGTTCGTTTTTTCTGTGGGAAGAAAATGGTAAAATTCAAGTTTACAGATTTAATCGTGTTCTTTTTGGTGTTACGAGCAGTCCATTCCTTTTGACTGCTACTTTGAAAACTCACCTGAGAAAGCACTCTGAAGAATTCCCGACTACAACAGAATGCTTAGACCGCTGTTTGTATGTGGATGATTTTATTTCTGGAGCTGATAATGTGTCGGATGCTTTTGAGATCTCCACTCAAGCTACATCAATTATGAGCCAAGCTAGCATGGTGCTACGAAAATGGACTACGAATGACAATACATTGATGCAGTTTTGGACACGTGAAGGTTTCGATACACAGCCACAAGTCAACACTATTAAAGTTTTGGGACTGTCATGGAATCCTGCTGAAGATTGTCTAATATTGGGAAAGCAGAGCCTAGTGAACAGTCTGTCTAAAAACGAAAGTACCAAACGATTCCTACTACGTACAATTGGAAGGATTTTTGATCCGCTTGGGTTGCTTTCGCCGTTTACTATTCGTGCAAAGTTCATTCTACAAGTCTTATGGATGAAGAAAATTTCTTGGGATGAAGAAATACCTGTAGATATACAAAAAATATGGCTTCAGTGGTGCTCCGAAGTTCCTGATCTTTCAGAGTTACGAGTTCCTAGAAACGTGCTCAATTTAAATATACAAGTGCCAACCGATATCTTAGAACTACACTGCTTCTGCGATGCTAGCCAAAAGGCTTACGGTGCTGCTATTTATGCAAGAGTTGTGAAGGATAATAACATCGAAGTGAATTTATTGGTTAGCAAGAGTCGAGTGACGCCACTAAGGAAAATCACTCTTCCGAGACTAGAATTACTCGGTGCTTTGCTTGCCGCCCGACTAGCGAGTAAAGTCAAGAAAACAGTGGATTTAAAAAAAGCCCTCCTTAGTGTTCTTTTGGACGGATTCAAAAATAACTCTCTATTGGATTAAAGGATCTACGAAACGATGGAAATCATTTGTTGCCAATAGAGTTAACGAAATACAGAGTTTAAGTGATACCAGTGCCTGGAAAGCAAAATCCAGCTGATCTCCTGCAGGGGAGTCAGTGCTGACATTTTATTGAACAGTGACATTTGGTGGCATGGACCCCAATTTTTGAGAGAAAAAGACTGATGTTCCGGTAGACAATAATGACATTCTAATTTCATTAGATGACTTTTCTGATGAACTAAAGAAAACTGATGACTCTAATGATCATTCTCCTATTGCCTTTACTGTTTTAAATCATAGTTCTATAGTTGATGATATTCTTTCCTTGAGTAATAATTATTTAACTATTGTTCATGTTATGTGCTATGTATTTAGATTTATCAATAATGTTAGAAATGAAAAGCTTACAGGTCACCTTACATTTAGCGAGTTGAGAAGAGCGGAAATCTATTTATTTAGGTCAATCCAACAAGGTGAGTTTGTAGATGAAATAAAACATCTTGAGAGAGGTGCCTCAGTGCCCAGCAACAGCAAGGTAAAATCTTTAAACTGTTTTTTAGATAAAGACAATGTTCTAAGGGTTGGAGGCAGACTGAAACATTCTGACCTCAGTACATATGAGAAAAATCCAATTGTTCTGCCAGATAAGCATCCATTAACTTTAATAATTGTGAGATATTATCATTTAAAATATTTGCATGTTGGTTCAAATGCATTATTGTATCATGTTCGACGTAAATTTTGGGTCTTAAATGGCAGAAATGTTTGTCGTAAAGTTGTTTTTCAATGTATAACTTGTTTTAAAAACAAACCTGTTTTTGAGACTCAGATAATGGGTGATCTGCCCAAAGAACGAGTAACACCTTCTTACCCATTTAGTAATGTTGGAACTGATTTTTGTGGACCATTCCACATTAAATTTAAAAATCAGCGTAAGGGTAAACTAAACAAAGTTTATGTGTGCATATTTGTATGCTTAAGCACCAAAGCCATCCATTTAGATTTTGTCTCTGATCTTACTTCAGATGCCTTTATAGCTTGTTTGAAACGATTTTTTAGTCGCAGGGGTAAATGTGCAAAATTATTCAGTGACAATGCAAAGAATTATGTGGGTGCAAGCATTGAGCTCAGAAAATTGCATAAATTGGTTAAACACCCAGATGAAACACTGACTAAATACCTGCTAAGTGAAAACATTGAGTGGAGGTTTATCCCTCCTAAATCACCAAACTTCGGCGGCCTTTGGGAAGCCGGGGTGAAATCTTTTAAGTTTCATTTGAAACGAATTATTGGCAATGCTCATCTGTTTCTTGAAGAATTTCTCACTGTAATTCTAGAAATTGAAAGCGTATTAAATTCCAGACCTCTTACTCCCTTATCATCCGAGTTTGATAATTTTGAAACCTTGTCCCCCGGACATTTTCTCATAGGGAGGCCTTTAACTTCAATAGCTGAACCCCAACTTGTTGAGATACCAGAAAATAGGCTCTCAAAGTGGCAAAAAATAACGAAATATAGTCAACAAATTTGGAAGTTATGGAAGAGAGACTATTTAAATAACCTTCAACAACGTAGTAAATGGATGTTTGCTAAAGATAATGTTAAGGTGGGTTCACTTGTGTTAGTCAAGGATGAGCATATGCCCAGTACAAAATGGTTAACAGGTAGAATTGCAGAAATAATTTTTGGAAAAGATAAAAAAGTTCGAGTGATTAACATAGTATTACCAGGTGGTAAAATGTTAAAAAGAAATGTGAGAGACATTTGTGTTCTTCCTGTGAATTGTAATTAGATTTATGTATTGTATATTGTAATGTGTTTCTTTCCAGTGTTTATATTGCATTTATGATTTAATGTGTCTTTTAAAATTTAACCATTGTATTGCTATTGCTTACAATTGTTTGTTATTGTGCTTTAAAACAGTGTATACTAATTGTAATATTTTGAAACCCGTAAGGTTTCAAGGTCGGGAGTATGTTCAGTAGTGATAAAGAGTTGCCGACAGGAGGCGCTGCTAGCGCGTTATACTCTCGACCTACGTAATTTGAATTGAGTATTCTTTTCTTTTGTGTACTTGCTGTAACAGATCTTACAGCTTTGTGATTGAGAATTTAAAATGTTTTGGAGCCAGATCGTTCCTCTACAGCAACAAAATCATTAATAAATGTATAATAAAGTAAATATCTTTGTGATGATAATCTTTGTTATTAAATACAAAGTTAACCAGCTCCTGAGTACAGTTCAGTCTTTATGTTAGTTATCTTTTCATTTTACGACGAGAAAAATTTGATAAATGAGCTTTATTCAACTTTCATTGTTCTAAGTCATCAAGTAAAATTCTCACCATCCTGGTATTGCAAGACATATTAAAAATATAACTACCAACTAGAGCCGCCATCTGTCGAGAAGAAATGATTTCTTTTCGTCATGAATGGATTGTATATAGATGCCATCTAGTGAGCCTTTCCAAAACTTAACATAATGACTGAAACGAATTCAACATGAGGGAAAAAAAAAAAAAAAAAAAAAATCTCCTCTTCTCCCGAAGAAGTTATAGGGATAGGGCAATTCAACATAAGAACTCTGTACAACAAGAAAACTGTATCAGTACCAAAAATTTTCGGCAAAATACGCAAAGTATGTGCAAATTCTTCTTTCTCAATATTTGTAACCGTTCATGAACTTCTTTTTACTCGTATTTATAATATCATCTGCTTTGCGGAAGATTAATAGCTACTAACAAAAGAGTTTAAAATCGGGGTTTAACGAAAGCTTCCTGCCACCAGAAATATCGTCTGCGCAACCAGTTCGCGTTGACGTGTTTAATCATATTTTGTCAAACGATCTTTGGCATTTGAAAGAAAAAGACTTGCTTTAGAACACTGTTTTGTGAAATTTGTAAAAAAAAAAAATAAATAAATGTCGTTATCATTAAGTACAAGCAAGGTGTCTGAAATGGAACTATCACGCTACCAGGATTAGAACCATCATTTACTTCCAGTTCTGTTGCAAAAAGTCATGTGCGGAATGTCACCAAATGTGTACAACTTTAGGTACTAATGTTACATTATATGGCATTCGGAAGGTTTGGTACCGAAAGTTAAAAAATAAGGACTATGATATTCAAGAAGCAGAGTGCTCTGGCTTGACCTAGTGATGTTGATGAGGCCCTGCAAGAACTTGCGAATGAAGATCGCTATGAGACCACTCGAAAGCTTACTAAGGTTGTTTTGGTTTATTTGATTAAGGCAAAGCACTCGAGGGCTACCTGCCTAACGGAAGGGATGCCTTCGTGGAGGACTTTCTAGGGAAAACTGGGTCGTATCCACTTTACACATGACGAAAAGATCGAAATCGTCCATGCAGCCATCCTATTCGCGGGATTAGAACCTCGGACCTCGGAGTGTTCAGCGACTTTACCGCTCGGCCACTGGCGGGCTCTAAACATGCTAAGAAGTTAGACGTGAGTAAAATGTCCATTAATCGCGCTATGTATCGCATAAATTTGAAGTGCAAGTTCAAACTCTAGTTGCCGCACGAGCTGACTCAAGCAGATAAAGACAGACGTGCTCGGGCCTGCTCTAATCTGGTAAAGTATCAATGCAAGGACAAAACTGTGGACGGGATCGTCGTTTGTGACGAAAAATTTATTTACTTCAATAACAAAGGCCGAAAAAGGGGGTTGGTCTGCGTCCGGTGAGCACGTCGGCAGCGTCGTAAAGCGCAGTTGGACTAACAAAAAGATCATGTTTTTTATCTGGTGGGATTGCCATGGTATTATCCAAAAAGTGTATCTGGAAAAAAGGTAAAACCCTCGACAGTAAGGTGTACAGCGAGATACTATTGCGTGTTGACGGTGCTATTAAGGAAAAACGTCGAATCGAGTTCCCGCGCAAAACAGTAATGTTCCATCAAGATAATGCAAGACCACACGTGTCTGCATTAATCGGGTGGAATATGTATGGACTTGAATGGGATCTTTTGCCACACCCACCATATAGCCCCTACGTCGCCCCTTCGGACTTCTACTGTTTCACACCCGCAGCTACATCTTGATGGTGCTGCCTTCCATTTTGCACACAGGTTGATCTGTTTTTGGAATCGCGGCCACCAAGTTTCTGAGCCGAAGGCTTTGAAAAACTACGAAAACATTGGCAGAAAATTCTAGATTTGGGTGGTGATTACTACCTGCACTAAAGGTACTGCTTTCATGTTTTATTTTTTAACTTTAATAATTTAATTTAACTTTTAATTTTGGTCTAAAACGTTCGTTACAACTAGATAGTTTGGAAATGTTTCGGCATAGAGGGAACTGTTGATTTTTGCAACGTCTATCCGGACATTACTTTTGCTTCATTACTTTAAAAAAAAATTCAACTTTTGATGAGATGCTATGTTTCCTAAATCGTTTCCCTAATTCGTTTCAATTATATTCAGCTGGATTTAAATAAATATATTGTTGAAATGTTTTGTCTTTGTCTAACTGCAATGCAAAAAAAAAAAAAAAAAAAAAAAAAAAAAAAAAAAAAAAAACGCATGCTTCAGGTCTTTGTCTAACTGCAATGCAATTTACTTCTGACATCCAGTTTTCTGATACACATTTTTTTGTGCTATTATATTCAAGTTCTCTTTTAAAATATTTAGATATTAGTATCAGTAAAAGCTAATTTACCTAGTCCTGCTACAGACATGCGCCCTTATACTAAGACACTTCAGCTAACATACTTTACTTAATTCAAAGTTTTATTTCTATTTTTAATTCTTAATTCAAAGTTTTTTTATTTATTTTTCCTCAAACAGTAATACGACATCAAAACAAAATGAATATTACAGTTGTAGAGGTATTTTTTTGAAAGCAGGAGAGATGAAAAATGAGCTATGCAATCGCCGGGACTCGAACTACGGACTCTCGAATACGCACCATGTGTGCTGACCATTACACAACAAAGGCATACTAAGAACGCGGGAAAAATACCATATATACTCCCCCTTTTAAAAGG